GAGTCCGATCTTACCGTTGTACAAAATTTTATAGACCGATGGGATAAACGCCGTTTTATCTCATTTCCAGTTTTTATCAAGAACCTTTTAAACAAACAAGACCGAAAAATTTTGAAGAAACTAAAATCAACGGATTGCCAGCTCCTAAAAGACATCATTCTTGTCCAAAAGACATATGTACATAATCTTAGGAAAAAAGGCTGCGCACGCCCGAAAAATAATACACAGCGCTTTATGAACAACTTTGTAAATAGGTTGATATTTAAGCTCCATTTATTGTAATTACATACTTTTTAATTCATAATATGTATGAAGATTTCTGTTGTAGTTTTTCCGAATTCATTGTAGCATAAGATATGTACTTTTATCTTATAATGGAATAAAGCCTTTATTATTAAATTGACAGTTTTGGATGCGGTTTTCGGTTTTGATCGATTTTTATTTCGGTCTTTCGGTTTTGGATGATTTTTTCTACGGTTTTGCTGTTTCTAATGGGCTCCAATTCCCCCCTCTTCAACTTAGTTGATATTACGAAATTACATCGTCTCAGAAAAAGTCGACCCATCATGCCGGATTTCGATTTGCAAGACTCTTAGAAAATATTCCGCAAATGGCTGTAAGGGTTGATAGCTTCTAATGAAACTGTTTGGGGCTGCGTCGGTGGGGGTAACAAAATAATTTCAATATATCAACAAAGTTGAAATGGTAAATTGGCCACCGTTACGAATATAAAAGCTGACGTTTCGAGCGTTAGCCCTTCGTCGGAGCCAATAGAGCAGGGCTAACGCTCGAAACGTCCGCTTTTATAATCGTAACGGTAGCCAATTTACTCTTTCAACTTTGTTGAAGTATCAGTTCAAATTAAAATGAAGCTTAGTTGATAGCGCAATACATCTGTATCGCAGAGGATATGGAATCAACTTCCGTGTAGGCCAGAATTTTTTCAGGGCCTTATTTTCATTTCCTCTTTAAGTTGTAGTTTATTACAGCGATGATCACCCTCATCTTATTTATTTTTCTCATTAGGAAGAATAACATTGCGTGCGATATCTATGTGTTATCTGCAGAGCAGATCGCCACAATACTATGCTTACTATTAATATCTATACTACGATATTTTTGCCAGAGACTGGTACAATACCTACATATTTTACGACTTGTTCTTAAAATTTTTACGCGATTTCCTCCATTAAACCAGAAGTTAGGTTGAAGCTATATTCTAAGAACGCTTATGTTACAGAACTGACACATTCATTATAGCTACTTACCTAAAACCATCTTTTGCATGCATTGAGCCTCAAAGGCTTTTTATTTTGGTTAGGTTTTTTTTTTACAAAATGTATTTCAAATAATGTACATTCCAGTTAGTATAAGGATACTTACTTTTTTGTGATCTGTATCGGACGTGTTCTATGCCTAAGAAACCACAACATAGGAAAAACTTATTCTGCCACTTACTGATTACTTTTAACTTCTAAAATAATAACGGCGAGAGAAAATGATTGATAGCGGTTCAAAAAACATTCACACACTAACTGCTAAGAAAAATTCTGCCATTTAAATTTTTTTTCTCTCTCTTTACTGAGCAGTATTAGCTATCGCTGACGTCAGGTATTGAATTCTCTCAGATTTTCTGGTTCATAAATAACTCCAACCGAAATAGGATAACAAATCGTTGACTGCGGATCTCTTGCAACGGTAGAGACGGACGATTGTCAAAAAGTGAGATTTATGAAAAGTTTTCGTCAAATTTTAAAGGTCTCTTTAAGTCTTGATTTCTGTGCGTGTCTTACCATTCCAAGTTCTTGACTTAGTACCACGATTTTATCTCTGAGTCGCGACCTTTAATTAATATCCAGTGTTCTTATCGCACGCTGAATTGACTCAAAATCGAGGTAACCGATCTGAGATCACCTGGGCCCAGTTGCGTAGGGCAGATGACACTATCCACCGGATAAATCGCTCTTCAACGGACAAGTGTTGACAAAATGTAATCTCCTTATTCCGATCGGATAGAGACTTTTACACTGGATGGCGCAACTCACCCCTCGAACAACGGAAGCCTGATGGCTAGGAGGCAAATGATACCCAATTGTTGGGCAATATTTCCTGTTTTTCTTGCTCCCAACAGATAGCTAACGCACCTCAAGTTATGCAGTAGTTACTCGGACTTTATTTTGCATGGTTGACTCTCATTATGTTATGTACAAACATGGAGTAAACCCATGACGTGTTACCATCAAAGGAAGAGTCAGGCTACGAAAAAGGTTAATGTGCCAAGAGAGAAGATAAAAGTGTTGGAACGCAGAAAATTATTAACTGGAAAGCTATTAGGTCTATTCGAGTTACGGTAGACGCGATTAAGATAAGCAGTCAAAGAGACCAATTGTCGCCAACAATTATCCCGTCCAACCGGGATAAGCTCTACCGCAGCGAGCCACTCGTCCACACCTTCGATTTGGGCTGTTTTTTTTTTTTTTTTCTCTTTTGATTTTCTGTAGCGCTCTCTCGCTGCAAAGGATCAGCTTTTTAGTGCCCCTGTTAAGATATATATATCATAGATTGCTTTTTTCATAAATTGGCATTAACCACTGGCATGTTTTTAATCTCTCGGTCGGCTATTACATGTATCTAGGGGAATTTTCAACGCGACACAGCTTGAATATTCAAGGTGACATTCTAATACTCGGCCCTTTGAAATCGACTCGGGATAGCTTGTTCAGTGTTCCACTACAGTAGACTTTGTATCGTTTGTGGTCTCTATATTTCCTGTTTTCACGGCTATTTTGTGTCATTATGTAAAAAAAGGTACCTATCCCTTCGATTAAATAACTCGTTTTTCATAACCCCAGCTCAACTGTGGAAGAGCAAAATTAAACAAGCTAGGTGTCACTATTTTCTGTTTGTCTGTCAATGTTTTGTCCTTTCCCACTGCTGTTGAAAAATTATAGCACAATCCAAAAAATCCAATTAAGTAAGGAAAATGTGATGAAAAAAATCCGCAGTGGAAGACATTACATTCTGTTTCCTTTTTTTTTTAAAGAAGATTTTCTAATGTTTCAAGTGGTGGCCTGAAAATTTACTCTGAAGGAATTTCATTTGTTTAAGATTTGAACCGCCCACCAGCAAGATCATAAATTATTTTCTCTCGTGTATGACTATTATTCGGTGACTGATGTCATCCAGAAAATACGAAGCACCATTTTCCTACCATGAGCTGATCATTCGGACTTTTCAATCCGATGTATGACTTGTTATTCAATCCGATGTATAGCTTAACTGTATGCAGCTCACGACAAGCGAACGTGGCCTGCGGCAAATTTTGCGGAGGAACTACCTTATCTGAGCTACACGGGGTCTTTAAACTTTATTTCTATCAAATGAAATAACAGATCAGTTGAGTTGCACGCGGTAAAAGGCCTTTTGTCTTGTTCTTATAAAAATCAATCAGTGGCTTTTTCCACACTGCGCCCCGCAGCCATCAGACTAAATTTTGTCTCCATTCTCCTCTGTACAAATATTTTTACTGTGTCAACAAAACTATGGTACTAGATCTACTAGCTAGAATATACTAAATCTTGTAAATCTGCTACTAAAGAAAGGCTTCTTGGCGCAGTCCTAGATGGCTGGAACAATCTAGTAAAAACGACCCCCGGCTTACATCGACTCTTGCAGAGGGCATAACCTTTGAACATCATGATACTACATGTGTCGTTTCCTTAATGAGTAACTGTTGATCGATCGTACACAGTATCATTTCCGTGTTATTCCCCCTGCAACGATCGTAACCTAAATACCTCTTGTTCGTATGATTTTCAAAATTTCCTATAAAACGTACACCTGCGAAGATTTGAAACAAACGTCCCCCCTAACAAGCACAAAACAAAACGAAACGAAACTAAACAAATGAAGAAACAAACTGACAGAGTAACAAACAAACAAACTTGCGAGAAATCGATTCTTTAAGTAGTTTTCGCTTTACTATTTCCGTTTTCCGGCCTTTGACGCAATTTTTCCCAACGTGGTATCCCCGGGGGGGATAAAAGGTATCTTAAAATTCCCTCGGTTTATCAGATCTCTTATGATGGAGAGCTCTCGATCAAAGCGTGCAATGCTTTTCTTCGATTTGTTTCCCGAAATAATTTGTTTTGACAAGGCATGCTAAGTCCGCAATCACTCGCTTTTTCGCATTATAATGAATTTAAACAATTTTTGACTTTAGACGAAGTACTTTGGTAATCGCTATTTTAACAATATGACTAGACTTTAGACTTCAGACTGCTTTATTCCTATCCACCATGACAAGTACGTGATTATTCACAACAGAACTCTGACATTAAGATGTGAACCGATCAAAATCCAGGGACAGGTACAAAGCATAATTTTTATTTCAACCAGAAAACAACAACTGGAACACAAGCTTAACTCTAGGTTCTCAAATTTTTGTAATTTTTTTTTTTTTTACACAATCATTAACATCGTGATGCCGTTCCTTCGCTAGTTATGGTGTCATGTTTTTTTTTTTTTTCCACACTCAGTGACGTAAGGTGTGTGGCAGGTGTCGAAGGAAAAATAATATGGACTACGCACACTGAATTTGATTGGTTTGCTCTTCCACAACTCCCGCACGCCTCCTTTAACGCCCCTGCGTAGTATTCCAATAGTACATTTCTCATTTTAAAACCATTTTTCAACACTTTAATATTTTTCTAGTCGCTTTCGCTGCCAGCTTAGATAATTTCCTTTTTTCCGCGAAGATTCCTGTGGGAAATTTTCCATTTTTATCTTGTTTGTGGGACGTAAATAGAGTTTGGGATCATTTTTAATCTTCTCATTACGTCATACACGCGCCTGGAGTAAATATCATTGTGTTGCGTAGAAAGGTTACACGAGGTTTTCTTCCGTGAAATTTGTACTATTTTCAGCTGGTTTGGTCGTGTCTCACTGAGCAGCTTAAGTCATACCTCTACCTCCTTTACATAAATCACATGGCTGAGTCAAATAATGCCCAGAGCGGCGACGAAAACGGCATCAAAATCGCTCAGCCCAGCGATATAGTCTTGAACTTAAACGAGTCGAAAACGAAAGACGGTCAGATTGTTAACGGTTCCGTGCATTACACAGGGGAGGAAACAGCAGCTAAAGGAGAAGGAGGTGGCAGTTCTGACAAGGAAGTCCAGCAAAACGGGAACGAAATCGAGGGACACATGAACGGTCATCAAAATGGCGACGCTAAGAGCCCGATTGGGGATGAGGAAATTGTGAAACTCGCTCCTACCGAGTCGACGTGGACGGTACAAGCAGAAGGTGCTGTAAAGCTGTTATTGGGATCGACTGGAAGCACAAGTCGTACCCCAGTTACCGTCGTTCAGAGTGTCCAACGAGCTGTGCGTCATGCTCCGACGAGAACAGCCCTTGCAGTTAAGCGTAACGACGAATGGGTGAAGTGGACCTACGCCGAGTATTACGAATCTATACAAGCGGCCGCTAAGTCATTCTTAAAGGTTTGTGAAACTCTTCCCTTTCATTACTGTTGAGTTTCTAACGCAATAACTGCCTTTTGAAAAGTGTAATTCGTGTGCGAAACTTTAAGTACGCAATATGCCAAGTTGTATTTTTGTCGAACAGCAACGTCGTTGTGGTTGAGAAGAATGAGTTTGTTTAACTTCGTTTCATATGAATGGCAAAAGTGTCTGCTAGAATTGATCCGAATAATCGAGGTATCAAAGTCCAGAGATTACAGTTTTATATCTTACTTAGTTCTGGCTAGCTGAGTTTCTCGAGAATTGTTTACGTTTAGTAGGAGAATTTAATTGATCTAGGAATATTGTTTTGTTTACATCGAATATTGTTGTGAAATTTCGTTTTGTTTACAAAGCTTCGTTTTTATTGCAAAACCGTGCAATGCAGCAAGAGTTTTGACTTTCGCACTCTTTATATGATTTTATATCGGTGTGGTTATGTTCCGGAGGAATTTGCTTCCCCTAATCTTGTATTTGCGGGTATCAAATTTGTCTTAGCCTGTTGAGAAGTATTTTACATGTTTAGCTTATTTGGTCTTTTAAAACAGTTTAGCAATATATTGAAATTGGACTTTGTTTTGGTGGTGCAAAGATAACGAAAGCCTGACAAAATAAAGTAAGACATGGAAACCTCTAACCCAATTCGCTTGTTAACATCATCATGAAATATTGAAAAGTGGTTTAAATTACGTGTGGAAAATATTGTCTAGACTGCCTGCTTGCGCAGGTTCTTTGACTAGGTTAATCACGGCTGTGGTTTGTTTTCTTTCAGCCACAGCAATGAACTAGAGTAGTATATGGGTTTAAACAAACTGTTATTGTTATCTAAATAAATTGTTTTTAGTATCCACTCATCATATCTTCCAGTCATACCCTTGATCTTTACTATACAATGTTCTTGTATATTTGGTTAGCCTTAACAACCAAAATATTATACCAGTTTATTTGCATCCTTTCCATTTCACCATTGTTTTCTGCAAAGAGCTGTACGCATTGATTTAGCCTGGGATTATGAGAAAATCTTGCTGCAGTTCTGAACATGGTGTAACATACTTAGATTTGATTTAAGTTAACATGGATGGTAACCCAGGTTTGTCCTTTTTTTTCTGGTACTTTTTTGACATTTTCTTGACACTGTGCTGCATCATCAAGTGTCCAAAATATAACATGTTAGATTTTTGTGGCTGAGTGGCAGTTAAAATATAAGTTGAACTGAATCTGATGCACTGCTCTCCCCTATCATTTTAAGCGTAAGAATGAAGCAAAGTTTCAAACCAGTACAGCATTCCTTTTACCCATTGAGTTTTAAAGAATTTCAACCAGTTTGAGAAGGTAATGAGAAGTACAGCTGGAAGTAAATTTTACCCATTGTTGTCTGAATGGAGAACTCTGCTGATTTAGTTGTCCCATGGTTAGGATTGTTGTGCATGGTGTTTGAGACAGGTTGTGCAACTCCCTTGATCATGATAGGAAACACTGCAGTTCATAAAATTTATGCTCAATTCATTTACCAACAGCTTGGCTTGGAACGTTTTCATGGAGTAGGGATCATTGGATTCAACTCTCCAGAGTGGCTCATCTCAGATTTGGGGGCCATTTTTGCAGGGTAAGAGTGTAATCGTAAGGAAAGGAGTGATGTCATTATTCATGAACAATTTGAAGTGATAGCTGTTTGTGAATGCAGGAGTTGGAACATTTGCTGCCACAATGATTATTACAAGATGTCTCACTGCCATCTTGGTTTGGGTTAATACACTAAACAGAAGGGGTCTAAATAGGATGACAAACCCTTAAATTTATTTTAAACCATTTAACTTCAAAGATCTCATTTAGTAATTTTCTTTACTGTTTGCCATATGATTCATACTTGAAAAAATTTGGTATTAGATCAATTATTAAATCCCTGATTGATATCGTTCTCTAATCTGATCACTTGTGTACTCAGTTGATATAGTCTTGTTGTGGTAAGGGGAAATGATGTTTTGGTCACTCCTGAGGGTTAATTAAAGGGTTTGAAACTTCAGTGAAGTTGTTGTGGGTGATGAAAGCCCAGGTTGCAATTCACAGCAATTTACCTAAAAAAAAAGTTTGTTATTTTCCATCTCTATCGACACGTGTACAACTACTGTACCTTCTCAAGGAATTGTCTAGACAGGTTATCAACATACCTTGGATAACATCCAAACACGAATTGGGATGCCATGGCAATGGTCGGAAAGAGACAAATCCCTAAGTAGCATTGTAAATTGTATATAACAACATTATCAACACGTTACTAAAGTATATGCTTGGTTATAACAAAGAAAAGGCAAATATTAAAATGTACTGACTGAGTGCTGTCCTTACAAAAATATTTTTGAATAAATTTTGTGGGTGAAATAATCACTTGTCTATATCTTATGCCTTTAAACCACTACACCCTTATATTAGTAGGCATATTCTCCATTTACATATTTATTTCCTTAGGCAATGACAAAGAGAATTTGTTTTAACAATCAAGAGCTTCTTTAGTTGATAAAAAACATATCAGTTCTACAGCTAAATAACAGAATAAAGGAAGAATCATATTATATGGATAAAAATACAACCATTTTAAAAAACATGGCAATTGTAAAATGTAATATCAAATACATATACCCTTCTCATCTACTTGAGGGTCTCTTTTTATGAGAAAAGGCATCTATATTTAATATATTTTCATTTTTGCAATGTTTTTGAAAACAGGTGTTTATTACATAACATTTATATATAAACATAAAAGATATATACCAACTAATGAGAAGCACAGTTATGCTCCTTCATTTCTAAATCTAAAATTTTTAAATTGAATCTAAAATATTTAAACTAAATAGGGAGCTGAGTTCTCTTTACTCTTTCGGAAGATCATTCTAGTCTTTTTATAATAGTTAGAAAGATTGTAATTGTCATGGGCTTAGCTGCATGTTATAAACTATATTTTTGATTTCACAGAGGTCTGGCTGTAGGGATTTATGCCACAAATTCTCCTGAAGCATGCCATTACGTTGCCGAGAATTGTGAAGCTAATGTCATAGTTGTTGAGAACAAACATCAACTGCATAAAATACTTCAGGTGTGTACAACTGGTTCGCATTTGAATTAATTGACTCACAGGCTGGTAGCTTATGTTTGTGTGGTATGTTAAGTTACAGATGTATGTATATCTTATTAACCAAGCGGGAGGGATGTACTGGGAGAATATCAGTAAGGTCCCGAGCAAGCTTGGTTAATAAGAGATTTATTATACAACTGAAGTTCAAAGGGACACAAGTGCGGTACCATTCGGAACAGTGCCTGGTCCGATACTGAGAGAATATTGACCAGCAATAGAGCATTTTGATTGGTTGATTTTAGTTATTGGCCCTCTGACTACCCGAGTCGTGTAATAAATATATATACTGTCACTTCACCCCCTCTTAACAGTATTATCTCTTTTCACCAAAAGGGTTCACCCCTCTGACAAAGGTAGCAGAACAAAAAAAAAAGATCTAACATTTTCTTTGTCCTCAAGAAACTCAAATCTCCTTTAGCAAGTAATAGCTGCTCTAATTTATGATGTTCTTTGTCCAAATTAGATCTGGGACAAACTTCCCCATCTGAAAGCTGTGGTTCAGTACATTGGCGAGATTGAAGGGGAAAAACCATCTAATGTGTACACAGTAAGTTAAATGTCTTTTGATAATTTCTGAGTTAAATGTATTTTATTAATTAAGGGTGTAGATGAGAGGATGTCATGGTCATTAGTTCCTTGCTTTATTGGTAAAGGTGCGATTCATGTACACTTTTCTTTTCATTTTTTAGTGGAAGGAATTCATGGAAGCAGGGAAAGATGTTCCGGATGAAACCCTCCAAGAGAGAATGAATGAGCTGGTGCCGAACAAATGCTGCACTCTTGTGTATACTGTAAGTTTCAATTTTCTTTTTCTTGACTCTCTGATGTCTCACAAACTGTTTAGCAGGAAATTAATTGAAGTGGCAGGTTCTGTTTGAAACTGTAGTCCTGCTATGGCTGAAAAGAGAAAATAAAGCAAGAAGATTTGCTTTTTATGAACCTTAAGTTTGTCCTCAAATCCTCAGCAATTCAGAACTGGATTGAGCACTGCTTTTTCTTTTTGTTAAGCCATGCCACAGGCACAGAAATGACATCTTTCTTTACAACCCTCTGGGTTATTTATCTGTGGCTGGCATTATAAAATGCATTTATTTTATTACTTGTGCAGTCTGGAACCACTGGAAACCCCAAAGGTGTCATGCTGTCACATGATAATGTAAGTATAGTTGTTTTACAATTTTATTTTTTAACATTGTTTCCTTGTATGGCTAGGAATAGGGTTTTTCTTTTCCCTTTACATCAGAATTGAATTAAGAGAAATGTTTGCTGGAGTTACAAGAGGGTTCTTTTGTGAGATTTTGGCTGTGATGTTGACAAGTATATAATGGTATGGTAAAAAATTAAATGTTGTACAATAAAGCTACAGAATATGCACAGTTGGCAAAGGTGAAAAAAAAAAATTACTCTACTGTGGGTCTCTTAAACCAAATAAAAAAATAAGTAAAGAAAGAAGCATGAAAAGAAATAATACACATGTAAGGCATGAAGTTAGACTGTTGTCAGCATGACAAAGCACAGCTTAGCTTTCCCAGATAGTAAGATTCAGGCACAGCTTAGCTTTCCCAGATAGTAAGATTCAGGCACAGCTTAGTTTTCCCAGATAGTAAGATTCAGGCACAGCTTAGTTTTCCCAGATAGTAAGATTCAGGCACAGCTTAGTTTTCCCAGATAGTAAGATTCAGGACTGACTGTAAGAATGGTAAACAAGTGTTGTGAGGTTGTGATGTTGAAATACAGTGTGATGATGGGATAAATGTAGAGATAACTGATCCAACAGTAATCCAAGGATTAGGGTTTCTTTCCCAAGTGCTGTGATTGTTCTGTAGCTTCACTACTTGTGGCAGAGTTGATTTTGTTCAATATTTTTTCTCAGTTAACATGGACAGCAGAGGCAGCTTCCAGGTTTGTGGGTGTTGGAGAGAAGGGCATAGAACAAGTTATCAGCTACCTTCCACTCAGTCACATTGCTGCGCAGGTAATGTTATGGCATAATTAATAAATTTGGATTGGACACTAACTTACAAATGGAGAACTGAGAGACTCCCTTCAACAGATGTCAACCACCACCAGCACTATTTGACTCATTCAGAACATTCCTACAACAAACAATTCATACATAATGACCTAAATCTTGTGGGAAACTAAATCATAACAAGCTTGTCATGCGCAAGTCTTACAGCCAATTACATCACTGCAAAACTGGCCAATCAGCCAATTATATCTTTGCAAAAGTGACCAATCAGCCAATCACATCACTGCAAAAAAATTGACCAGTCAGCCAATTATAACACTACAGTACTGACCAATCAGCCAATTATATCACTGCAAAACTGACAAACATCCAATTACATCATTGCAATACTGACCAATCAGCCAATTACATCACTGCAAAACTGACCAGTCAGTTTACAGAAACGACTTGACTGACAAAAAACTCTTGACAAAAAACTCTTCATTTGACTCGATCTGGTGTTGACTTCTGTGAAGGTTAATATTTAAATGTCAGGCACTACCACTGGCAACAGTTCTCTGACGCGCGTGATCAAACTATATGATCTTAGATATTGAACAATAGATGAAAAAGAGTAGCAGGAATATTAAATATATCTTATTAACCAAGTGCGAGGGACGTACTGGGAGAATATTGGCCCGAGGTCTTGACAGTACGGACCGAGTGCAGCAAGCTTGGTTAATAAGAGATTTTTTAATACGACTGAAGTTCAAAGGGACACAAGTGCGGTATCATTCGGGACCATTCGGGAAAGTGCCCGGTCCAATACTGAGAGAATATTGACTGGCAATAGAGCATATTGATTGGTTGATTTTAGTTATTGGCCCTTTGACTGTCTGAGTTGTGTAATAAAATATGTTAATAGAGTTCATTGTAGGAAGACAATCCATTCAATCTTGAACAGTTAATTCCAGGTTCAAACTAAAAATTGTACTCAAAACAGCAGCAGTAACATTTTACATGTCAATTGTTCAACTAAATGTTAAATTCAACATGTCAAAGTACATGAAAACATTTATTTATTTTTGTATAAATTAAGTAATTATTGTTATATTTTCAGATGTTGGATATTTTTATGCCAATTTATGCTGTCGGTACTGTGTGGTTTGCACAGCCAGATGCACTGAAGGTAAATCTAAACCCTACGTTTTAGTGGTAGGGAAGTAAATATGATTTCTTTTAAAGTAGGTTGTCCTAAGCATATATTTCTACACTTTTTTTACTGTGTAGGGCTGTTACTTGTTGCAAGTATTTTATTCTTTGAATATAAAAGGGTTTGTGCTGGCAAGAATCCTACTATACCAGTATTTTCTACTCCTGTGTAGCTTTTATTGATCTTGTGATGCAATATGTTCCTTCCCTTGAGAGTTTAATTCTCTCTTCAGCACCAAATAATTGGGTTGGAAAGGTCAGTAATAATGTGTGTTGGTAGGTGATTGGTTTCTTGTCACACACTCAAAATTAGAGGTATACCTGTAAATTGTGTAAATTGTAGTTTCAACTAAAAATGCAAAAATTTTGTGTGATAAGGCAAGCATGTTACATCAGGAGACAAATTGCAGAGAAAAATTTGATTTCTGTGATTGTATTTTAGATAACCAGATGACAGGAATTTAAAACTTCAGTGCTGTTCACTAACTATTGTTGATATGCGCCTGCTTGTATTGTTAAAATGCTTTTAACTATTGTGACAATGCTTTTGAATATGTAATTCTTCAGGGCACACTCTCACAGACCTTACGAGAAGTCAGGCCAACTTTGATTTTTGGAGTCCCAAGGTTAGTCAGATAAATCAAAGAATGTGAAGTACTGTTGGTACAGATCCACCTTTTGATAGGCCATCTCTAAAAAAAGGCTTAGTGGTGACAAAACTGAATTCTTGATTACTATAGGTCAGTTTGATGTGGCTGAAAAAGTTTTGGTGGGTGAGAAGGAATAATACATGAAGATAAAAGTGGCCTAAATATTATTTTCTCCAACAGAGTGTATGAAAAGATCATGGAAAAAATGAAAGAAATTGGACAAACAGTGACTGGTTTGAAGAGGAAGGTGGCTAACTGGGCTAAGGGTGTGGCACTGCAAGGAAACATGAACCTTGAAAATGGGTTTGTACACATTTTTGTGTGTGTATAGTATGACCTTGATATAAAAACTTTGATGACAGGTATACGGCTTGGACTTGCTCATTGTATACATTTGCATTTACCATTAAGGGGTTTTGAAGATGGTTTCCCTTTGTCTGTCACAAAGAATTATTCACTAAGTAATTTAAGAGTGTCTCTCTTAGGCTAACTGCAATGCTTTCAGTATGTACATGTAACAGCGATATTTCCGTAAATTCAATTGTTTTTTTCAAGCATAGGTCAAGTATTATCAGTGTTGTCACACTGTAGGTTTGTGTTCTTTCAAAAAGTGGATGACATTTTTTTTTTTTGACTTTCAGTCGGCATGTTCCTTTTGGTTGGACTGTAGCCAATAGCCTGGTGCTGAAAAAGGTACTTTATAGATTGCTACTTGTGAAAAAAAATGTTGACCCTTGCGTTAAGCCCAGCTCGTAAAGTGCTTCATTTGTCACATCTTGTCATATCTGAGGATGTGGAAATAATATGAGACATTTAAGGAAAGAAGTACATCAAAGGAGATGGAAAAAAAAACCCACAAATAAAGGAGGGACAAGATTCCCATCGAAAACTTAGAAAAAGAAAAGCTAAAAACTTTTGGGGAAGATGCAGCTCCTTTACACTCACAAAAAAAAATAATTGTCCCTACTGCATGCCAAACGTTTCCTCTGATTTTAGCCCGTAGAAATAGTTGATTTTTCTGTTCTTCCTCTTCACTTTTATGCTCTACAATGTAACAATGTTTTAAGGTGAAAAATCTTACTGTTCACTATATCTTTTTTTTTCACCAATCAGATCCGCCTAGCCCTGGGACTAGACAGGTGCAGGTTATGTGTAGTCGGTGCCGCTCCTGTTACCCTGGAAACCATTCGTTACTTTCAGAGTATTAACATTCCTCTGTTCGAGCTGTTCGGCATGAGCGAGAGTACTGGTCCCACAACCATCTCCATCCCAGGCCACGTCAAGGCTGGAAGCTGCGGTGTGGCTTTTGACGGAGTGGAGGTTAAAATCATCGAGCCAGACGAGGAAGGAAATGGCGAGGTGAGCTTCAATACTGTAGGGTGGAGTGGTAGGGTGGAGTGTCATGAGTCGGCGACACCGGCGATTTTACACGTCTTTTGCGACGTTTAACAAGTTTACTTTGTTCCGTCGTGCTCCATCTTGGGCACCTTCTGTGTTCAATATTGTACAAAAAACGTCCAACCTTAAAACAAGGACTTGATGAGGGAAAAAATCGCGGATACAATGAACACGTGGGGTGATTTACCGCTAATTTAGTCGGACAAATTAGTGACAATCAAGCTTTGAGCTAATGTCATTCCGGTCTGAGGTCGCGGTTAATGAAATCTTTTAGTTTGTGTTTCCCAGGCTAAATTTCACAGAGGAATTTATTTCCAACTACTAGAAACGAATTTCTTGTTACGATTGATATGTTTTTCCCCTGACATTTTTCCTGTTTTCGTTACCAGGTGTGCCTCAGGGGACGTCATGTTTTCATGGGGTACTTGAAGAACGAGGAGAAGACTCACGAAACTTTGGATGAAGAAGGATGGCTTCACTCCGGAGATATCGGAAAAATTGACGAGGTTAGTTTCTTCATTGAATCGAGAAACAACCGTGACTTTGGAACTTTATGCACATTAGGTTAAAAGAGTGACACTGTATTAGTAAGCAAGTAGGCATGTGACTTGAAACTGAAGATCTTGAGGTCCTTTTTGCTTTCCATATTTTCACTTTGGTAATGATGTTCGCAAATGGAATCAGCTGTTAGATATTTTAAGAATATACTAGAACTTAATGGTAAAGGAAACTTTGTTCCATGCACATTGTCGTCTTCCCAGCCCTTTGTTCGCTTATCAGAATACTTTTGATTGAACGAAAGTTCACCTTTCACCATTCTGCAATGGGGAGGCGGGATCAAGGACCACTTTTTACTATTTTTGCGATCTTAATTCTACTCCTTTTCACACACCGTTATTTTCTAATGTCGACCCTCCCTTCTTTTCTCTTTAGGCCGGGCAACTGTATATTACTGGACGAATCAAAGGTAATTTATACCTCCTACTGGGCTGAATTTTAATAAGTCTTTATTATTATTACTATTATTGTTTTTTGTTATTATTATTATTATTATTAGTAGTATTACTATTAGGCCCTTCGCCCTTAGCGCTACCTCTTCTCTCTTGTAAAAAATGGGAAGTGATGCTTGTACTGCACGCCAGCAGAGGTTCCATCGTCAAACAATTTTTCCTCATTTTTTTCCCCGCAGAGCTCATTATCACGGCTGGCGGTGAAAATATTCCCCCAGTCCCAATCGAGGATGCTATCAAAGAGGAGGTTCCTCTAATTAGCAACGTGATGGTAATTGGAGACAAGAGGAAGTTCCTATCTTGCTTTCTGACGCTCAAGGTAAACAGATTGATGTTTATTGGATCTTAACATAGTGGAACTTAACCTCTCGAGTGCCATGTTAATCACTAAGGGTGTAAATCCATGACAAATGGAAATTGAGGAGGCAAACGTTCAAACCGATGCCAAAGTTATGAAAGCGACCAATCAGAGCAGAGGAAAAATATCCAAGGTGTCAGTGAATAAAGCGCGGGAAAAGGCGAGTTACTAAGTTGCGATTGGTTTTAGGCGTGCATCTGATTGGTCGGATGGGTAGCGCGCCACGGGATTCTTGACCAATCACAGAGCGAAGTAAAGCGAAACCAATGCAATCCCGAATTGGAAGGATCACATGGAGGAGTAAAGCGGCTTGAAGGGTGAATTACTCTTCTGACAGAGAATTGAAGCGGGAGGAAAGGGGACCGAAACGCATGGCACAGTGAAGAATGGAAAA